CCACAGAAAAAGTTTTGAAGCAAGAGAAACAGAGCCCACAGAGAACCAAAGGCTGAAAGTTCCTCTTGGCCTTGTGTGTGTGCTCTTTGACACAAGCACGCGCGCGCACACACACACACACACACACACATACACACATACACACACATCACAATACAAATAAACAAATGCTGGGACTGGGGCCCAGTGCTGAGGAGCACTTACTTCTCTTCCAGGGGATCCAGGTTTGATTCCCAGGCCCCACACGGTAGCCCATAATCACCACTAGCTCCAGCTCCAGGACTCTGACTTCTTCTTCTGACCTCCACAGGCTCCGGGCATGCATGTGGTATAGACATGCATACAGGCAAGATGCTCACATACTTAGAACAACACACATCTGTAAACATTTTCAAATGTAATAAATATTTTTGTGTTTGCTTGCTGGCTTGTTTTGTTTCTTGAGGGGGTTTCTCTGTGTAGCCCTGGCTGTCCTGGAACTAGAAATGTTTTTTTTAAAGTTCTGTTTTTATGTGTCTGTTTTTGATACTTGAGATGGAACCAAGTGGCTTGTACACACAACTCAGCTATAGTTTCATCCTGAAAAAGGTTTTTTTCTTTTTTTGGTTTTTCTTGAGGGGGTTTCTCTGTGTAGCCCTGGCTGTCCTGGAACTCACTCTGTAGACCAGGCTGACCAAATTCACAGAGATCACCTGCCTCTGCCTCCTTGAGTGCTGGGATTCTGAAAAAAAAAGAAAGTTTTTATGAGCATTAAACACGTCCCACAAATGATCCCCTGACCTATTATGGTATGCACCTCCTTGTGCACAGAGTGAGTAAATAAGTGTATGAGTAACAGGCATCTCTAGTTAGTGTGCTATTACTTTTTTTTTTTTTTTTTTAACGAAGGTTCTGTGTAACCCACTGACCTCAGACTTGAGTCCCTCCCACCCTGGTGTCCCTAGTCGTGCGATCACACGTGTGTACCATCATGCCTGACTCTCCTGTTTTTATGTACTTCCTGAATTCTTCCACCATTGAAAAAAAGAACTAAATCACAATCAGAAAAGCAACAATCTTACTCTCTCCCTGCCTCCCCCACAGAGGCAGATGCTAGTAGGTAATTGGTGAAGGCTGAGGATGTAGCTCAATGGTGGAACATTTACCTATGATCCACAGGCTCCAAATCCAAGTCCTCAGCTACACACACGCACACACACTCACACACACACACACACACACACACACACACACACACACACACCAAACAAAAAACCTCAAAAGCAAACAGAGCAGCAGCCACAGTGAAAGGCAGAAGGTGGTCCTCCTATGGTAAAGGCACTTGGCATTTATGTTAAAACAACTCCATCGGCTACAGAGGACTTAAGAGTGCTTACTGCTCCGGCACAGACCTGAGTTTGATTCCCAGCAGCCACATAGTGGCTCACAACTACCTGTAATGCCTATCTGTTTCCAGATGATCTGGTAACCTCTGCTGATGTCCACGGGCTTGTGCATGCATCGGTGCACCCATACACACACAATACATAAAAAATAAAATTACAACCCATACCAGCCAGGCAGTGGCTCACAACTGTCCATAACTCCAGTTCCTGGGCAGCCGACACCCTCTTCCAGCCTCTAAGAACATCAGGCCCAGAAGTGGTGCACACAAAGACATGCAGGCAAACACACACAAGATTTTAAAATCTTAAAAAAACAAAACAAAAACCCCGACCAACCAACCGAACAACAAACAAACAAACAATAAAACCACAGCAGCAAGATTTTAAGGAACCCACAGTGTAGACATGAGAGTCACCTGGTGAGCAGTATGGGTTGTCAGTGTCTGGAGCCTGGCTTGGTGGCAGGCAGATGGGAACAGAGTAGTCCAAATAGATGGCATGTGCCACAGCACTGAACTTGGGCACCCACCAGAGTGGCAGAATCCTGCTTCCTGGTGACAAGTCACAGGAAACCAAGTTCCTTCTACTGACAGGCTGGTTTCTTTTTTTTTTTTAAGTATATTATTTATATAGCATTCTGCCTGCATGTGTACCTACACACCACAACAGGGCACCGGATCTCACCATAGACGGTTGTGAGCCTGTGGTTGCTGGGAATTGAACTCAGGACCTTTAGAAGAGCAGCCAGTGTTGTTAACCTCCGAGCCACCTCTCCAGCCCCCAGGCTTGTTTCTTGAGAGTCATGTAGCCCAGTGGGCTTTACTAACACTTCCTGCTTCAGCCGGGAAAGTGCTCGCCGGCTTTCCATTACAGGATGAGCACACCTCAATTCAAAGAGAAGGAACCTGAGCATTTCAGTGTCATCCTGAGAGTTAGCAAGAGGGGCAAATAGGAAACAGCAGGGTTGTGCAGGCTTGCCAAGCACAGTAGCTGGACTCATACGTGTAGGGAAGCACTCTAGTAAGGGGTAAATAGCACAGTAGGGCCAGGGCATGGCTCAGCAGGTAGAGGTGCTTGCTGCCAACTCTGATGATCAGAGTTCAATTCCTGGGAGCCACATAGTGGAAGAGGAGTGGCGGCTCCTTTATGGTGTGTACACACTTTTTTTTTTTTTTTTTTTTTTTTAAAGCACACAGGAGTTCTAAAGGTGCTGCAAATGAGGTATGTCAGGGGCCACAAGTCCACAGTTCACCCCAACCCTTTATTTATGTGGGTGAAATTTTGTTCTGACAAGTCTGGAAGACCTCAGACATCCACACTGGGCCAATCTGCTACGGAGCTATGTACTCCAGCCCACCCAGGAAAACCTTCACTGAGCCAACTACACATTTCTGAAAACATCAAGGGTGTCTAGGGAACACCTGCTGTACACAGCCATTCAGCCATGCTGAAAGGCGACGGCCAGGCCTGGCAAGGTGATGCCTGTCTTTAATGCCAGCACTTGCTGACCTGAGTTCAAGGCCAGCCTGGTCTACACAGCAAGTTCCAGTCTGACTACATAGTGAGACTCTCAAGAAATAAAATGCTACTGCCAGCCCACTTACAGCTGCTGAAAGCTTGGCCTAGGGAATAGAGGTCACACGGCCAGAGTCCCTGCCAGTCAAGACAGTCTAAACAGTCTTTGTCTTTGTTACTGCCACAATTTTCATAGACAAACTTTGAATAAAATGTGAAATATATCTTCTGACCTTAGATGAATAGTCTGCAGACTTAGTCATTAGTTGCAGAGGTTACTAGTTTATACTTAGCATGTGCTTGAAAAAGGTGGAGCTGTGCACACGAGGCAGATGTAAGTGCCAGCAAAACACACATACACATAAAGGTTCAAAAACCATGGAGCCCCACCACCACCACCTTTGAAGATGCAGCAGAGTGGGCTGGGTGTGACAAGGCCCTACGGAATTCTCTGAAAGAGTTCTCTGTACCAGGAAAGGGCAAGGAAGAGAATGGCCAAGGATCAAATGAAAACAGTAGCAAAAAGTTATCCCTGGAGGTCAGTCTCCCGAGTTCTTCTACAGCTATTTCCATGACCACAGTACTGCTTTACAGGGGAGACAACTACTCTTCCGTGACAGCGCTCCTTCCAAACTCTTCCTGTGGACAGGGGAGCAAACGTGCTGTGAGTTGGGTGGGTTTTTCTCTGTGGCCTGGCTGCCCTGGACTCACCAGCTGGCCCTGAACTTCCTACCTCTGGGATTAAAGGCCTGGCTCCCTCACATGCTAAGACTTTTGTTTGGGGGCTCCCTTCAAACTTCTCAAAGGCAAAGAGCTGCAGAGGGCGGCAGCACGTGCCCGTCACAGAAAGCAGAGCTGCAGTTAGGAGGGCCTTCTAGAGAGGAGCAACACAGCCCCGCTTTCTGTCGCCTGGAATGCGGTTGTTAGCTTCATTAGCAGTTGGGGAAACTAAAGCTCACACAGCTGACAAATGCAGCTGAACCCTGACCCATCACTCCTCTTCCTACACAAGCTAGGTGGCCGTTTCTCAAAGGGATTCGGTGTTTCTGAGTAAGGGCTGTTCTGACTCAGGAACCCGGTGATTCTTCCCCACATCACCTTTCACACCTTCCTTTCACACGGGAGCTTCTAGACAGAAAGACCCACAGCTGGCTGTATAATTTTTTGTTATAAAACGTTTAATGTTAACCTACAATACAACGTAAACCTTTATGAAAAAATTTGAAGTACACTAGGTTTCTTGAGGGGTTTTGAACTCAGGTGCAGCAGGGGCTGGCACACCGCCTCTTTTGTGGGTGGGCCTTCTGTTGCTGCCTTCCTCCAAGTCAAAACCTCTCCCCAGACAAACAGAAAAGCCAACCAGCTGCAAGGTGGAGGTCCCTGTCCAGCACCAGGCGACACGGTCTGATTATGTGTTCTGGGGGCTACTTTCCAACACTCTTCGTTGGCCTTGGCACCATGAGCAATTGTCAACTCATCAGGTGGAGATCCTAGTTTTTTAGTTTTTGAAGTGACAGAAATTCTCTTGCCATCTCTTTTCCGCAAGCAAGGAGAAAACAAAAAAACAAAACCTGACTGCTACAGAAAATTCTGCAGAAAAGACCAGACAGGACCCACTGAGGCTGCAAAACTCTTCTCAGGCATCGTGGCTTAGTCATTCCTGTGTCATTCAGCTGGGCCACTTCAGTGGGGAGTGCGGGACAGAACTTGAAACAAATACTATCATCCACGACTTGACCTTTGAATAACTGGTAGGACAACTGGAGGCAATTTAAACAAAGACAAATGCTCCCCGGGCTCTTCAAGCTCACGGGGCTTAGGGAGCCACAGACTGCACTGGCAAAAGGACAAAACGTGAAGTCCACAGTTCACCTAGGAAGAAGGGAAACGGCACCCGGACAGCAGAACTAGGGGCACCAAGAAAATGGAACTGTGTCATAGCTACTGTAGAGCAGGGGGCAGCCTTGAGTATGTAGAGTTTGAGGCCAGTGTGGGCCATCAGAACCTATCTCAAGAACCTGAGAGCCACACTACAGGGGCTGGAGAGATGGCGAGAGGTGGACTTCAGCAGAAGCCTCCAGGACACGGAACAGGCTGCCCTCAGAGTCGGGGCAACAGATGGCCCTTGTTTTATTAGTCTGGCATCTTTTTGCAGCTATCAAAAGGCAAGAGGCATAAAATGTACACATTACAGAATGAGACTAAGAAAAAAACCCCAGAACTTGTCACAAGATACTTCCACAGTACACGTGCCCATGTGCCAGGCAGAGACGGGACCAGGAACTGGGAGGGAGGCTCTAAGGGGAGGACCCTCTGCACAGCTTCAGAGGCTCCCCTGACGCCTTCACAGCGGTGCTGGCATCAGATGTGCTCTCTCACCCAGCCTGCAGACAGCTACAGTGTTAACATCCCAAGGTAGAACCTCTGGCGCTAAAGCCGCATTCCCAGGCTCCCTTCTGTGGAGAGCTGCAGAGGGCAGCAGCACGTGCCCGTCACAGAAGGCAGAGCTGCAGGTAGGAGGGCCTTCTAGAGAGGAGCAACACAGCCCTGCTTTCTGTCGCCTGGAACGCATTGCCTCACAGCACACTAGTGACCACAGGACCGTCCTAGAGGGCTGCAGTGTGTCAAGCCTGGACCGGCCTAGCTAGTCCACACCACAATACTTGTTAGTGCACACTGGCATGTGTCAATACATGGCTCAACCACGTACTCACTACCAAAACTCAACCACAGACGAGACATTTACACAGAAAGAAAAACACTCCTGCTGTTTTACCCTGGCCATGAGGAAGGCTGAAGACCGACTCTGCTAACTGGCCTTGTCGGAATACGGAATGTGCCTTCCAGCAACGGGCCAAGGCTGGGGTCTGATTCCCCTTAAAGTTTCTGCTTCAAACCTTTCTTTGAGACAGGGTCTCACTGGGTAGCTCCGGCTGGCCTGGAGGCTGCCTGCCTCTGCCTCGACGTGCTGGGACTAGAGGTGTGTGCCGCCAGGCCTGCTCTGGGTCTATGCACGGTAAACATCATCACACTTGCACTCAAACAGGGAGAGCAGCCACAGGTGGAGTGGGGGCCTGAGGGGGGGTCCCGCTAGTGCTTTGGAAAGGCACCGAGCTTGGCAAGTTAGGGAAATCGGGAAGAGCAGCATGTGCCGTCAGAGGCAAGCCAGGAGCTGCCATCCTTTGGTTCAGACCTCTATACCACCACTTGGTACAGATGCCAACGAACAGCTGCAGTGTGCAAATGAGCACCCCCCACGGGTGTGAACTGTGCACACAGCCTCTGTGGGCCATACTCCTCTCATTGCTCCAAATGGGATACAAAAGTGGCAGAGCTCTACCAGAGCAAACGGCCTCTCTGGGAATGAGAGGAACAATGGCAGAAATAAGCACAAATTAGCCCAGGGCACCTTTATTACACTACCTTGGGCTAAGGAGCCCAGGGCATTGGCTCTTTATCAAATAAATTTAAAGAAAACAACAACAACAACAAAAAAAACCACCTAAGTCAGCCTCATTCCTTTGGTCATTATCATTACAAAGCAAACAGAAACAAAGTCAGTCATAAGCTGTGGGCAGTCTGTTCTGTACTCTCCCCTCTCCCTCCAGAAGTGGGAGAAGCAAGTCCTCAGGAGATGCTGCTGTAGCAGGCCGATGGAGGGGTTCACTCGTATTCTCTATAAAAGCAAGAATGAATGAGAAACCGTGGGAATGTCTCCTTCCCACTCGGGACATCGGCTGGGCTAGAGGTGAGAGCCTCCACTGGGAGGGTGTGCTGGAGGCCGTGGAAGGTGAGGCCGAGCAGGCATGTTCGTCGCTGACCTTGCGCGCGCACAGGCTGTGACTCTTGCAGGCAGCATGGTTTCTGATCCCTCCATAGGATGCAGCAGTTTTTTAAAAAAAATATTGTATTATAATAATATGAATTTATCTCTTGTTCCGTTTTTGTTTTTCCATTTCTTTTAGGGATTGGGGTGGGAGGGAGGAAGCAGAAAAGTGTCATTCGTCTGTCAGGTCCTGAACAAAAAGAACCTCTGTGTGGCTGAGTCCTGCCTCCTGCAGTGTCGGGGGGTTGGGCCATTCCTCTGAAGGGACGCAGGGCAGTACCCGTCTTGGAAAGTTGGCTTCAATCTGAAACTTTTCAGGGCTTTCCTTCAAGGAAAATAAGAAGTCATGGATGACCTGTGGGTAGCACACAGAGAAAGAACACAGTGAGGAGACACGCTGGGTAAATGGCCACAACCTTTCCCAGGATGACCCAGGTACACAGCCGTCATGATAAATGGAATCACTTCAACGATTTCCAGTTCCCCGGAAAAGCATTTTTAAAGAATTCACAAGGAGCGTGTGGTGGCACACGCCTTTAAAAACAAATTTAAAAGACTGAGGACCCCACCCCTTCCCTACAAACACCACCTCGGGGAGAAAACCTGGTGGGCACTCCCTGAGCTAAGTGACATCACAGTCACTTAGACCCCATCAGTGCATGCGCCCTTCGTCAGCTGTGAATGCTTCAAACCTCTTAATGGACACAGAATGCATGATCCCAGCACTTGTGGAGGCAGAAATAGTGAGTTCAAGGCCAGCCTGGCCTATATAGTGAGCTCCAGGACAGCCATAGCTATCTAGAGACCCTGTCTTAGAAAAAAAGAAAAGAATGAATTCACACAAGCCTATCCCTAGTCCTCTGAATTACATTTTTTTCCCTTTCAGAATCTGTCCTTAGGTAAAGCTCAACAATTTCTAAAAGACTGATTGATTGATTGGTTGGTTGGTTGATTGATTGATTGATTATGTATGCAATGTTCTGTCTGCATGTGTGCCCTCACACCAGAAAAGGGCACCAGATCTCATTATAAATGGTTACGAGCTGCCATATGGTTATGAGAATTGAACTCAGGACCTCTGGGAGAGCAGACAGTGCTCTTAACTGTTGAGCCATCTCTCCAGCCCCCAAAGCTAAACAGTTTAAAATTTTTATTTCCTATGTGAGGGTCTCACAATGTAGCCCAGGCTGGCCTTAAACTCACGAGCTCCACCTGCCCTCTTGTCCCTCTCCCAGTGCTGAGCTCAAAGGCATGCACCAGCATGGGGCAATCACACCCAGTAAAGCTTACCAGTATTTACTCAGAAATAACCTCAGTCACAGAAAAGCTGGAAACACAGTGTACAGAAAATTTCCCTTTGGTCAGGCAGTGGCAGTGTGCGCCCTTAATCCCAGCTCTCAGGAGGCAGAGTCAGGTGGATCTCTGTGAGTCTGAGGCCAGCCTGGTCTACAGAGTGAGTTCCAGGACAGCCAAGGCTACACAGAGAAACCGTGTCTTGAAAAATCAAAAATAAAACAAAATAGAATGTTTGCTTTGAGTTAATTTTAAGTGGTCTGCCAACTTGGTGTCCCACTGCCCCAGAGACAGTAGTTATTTTGTTACAGTTTAAGTGACCTCAAAATCAGAAACTGTAGCTGATACATTACAAAAAGGTAAACACTCAACCTTCAAATGAGGGTTTCAGGATCCCTTCCCAAATCCTCAGGTATTCAGGTACAACTCATGCATTCTGTGTCCGTTAAGTGGCCTAAAGCACTCACAGCTAATGAAGTGACAACACTGGACACATGTACTGGTGGTGTCTAAGTGACTGTGATGTCACTTGTCACCTGCCAGGTTTTCTCTGAGGGGTGGTGTTTGCAGGAGGGTGTGCCAGCCAGTCTACTGACTCTGCTAATAGATCCACACCATTTTAGCCGATAGGCTGCATGTTATGTCAACAGTTATTTTCATGTTCAGACTATCTTAGCTGGAGCAGGTGTGAATGGCTGGCTTCTCTGTCTTGTACACATGGCCTCATCCCTCTAGGAACAATGCCTTGCTTTCTGCACAAGTTGTTCTAGGTTTTCTTTCTTTTGTTGCTTTTGTTTTTACTTTGTTTTGAGACAGGGTTTCTCTGTGTAGCCCTGGAACTCTGTAGAGAGACCTGCCTGCCTCCAGAGGGCTGGGATGGAAGTGGTGTGTCACCACACGCAGTGGTTATTGGTTTACACGTTTGTATTGTAGTGCTCTCAAAGGGCTGACCATGACTGCATATGAGAGGCAGAGTTCACAGGCTGGCGAGAGGCTTTCAAGAACACTAAATTATTTGGTACATGTCACTGTCAGGGAATGTCTGAGTCCAGGTCAGCATGGAATTAACTGTGTGTCTCCTTTAGACATCATTCTCCTCTCCCAAGGCCCCTCCTCCAAGCAAGCATTTAAGTCTTTTGTTTTGGATTTTTGAGACAGGGTTTCTCTGGGTAGCCCTGGCTGTCCTAGAACTCACTCTGTAGACCAGGCTGTCCTCAAACTCAGAGACCCACCTGCTTCTGCCTCCTGAGTGCTGGGATTAAAGGCATGCAACACCACCCCACCAAGCATGTGGTACACAGACATACATGCAGGCTTATATACATAAAATAAAAACATACATACATATATATGTACAGGCTTATATACATAAAATAAAAATAAATCTTTATAAAAGGATGGGTGCTGGGTGAGATGGTGCACACTTTTAACCACAGCACTCAGGGAGGCAGAGGCAGGTGAATCTCTGTAAGTTTGAGGTCAGCCTAGTCTACAGAGCGAGTTCTAGGAAAACCAGGGCTACACAGAGAAACCCTGTCTTGAAAAAAACCAAAAAGTGCTTTGGAGGTGGGAACAGGGAGATCCCCAGGAACTGTTAGCACACCAATTTAGTAGAATCAGCAAGTCCTACGTTGCAGTGAAGACTCTGTCAGGAAATAAGGTAGATGGCTCCTGAGAAAAAACAACTTGAGGTTGACCTCCGATTTCCACATGCAACACATGCACGCACGCACACACTAAATAAATTTGAAAGCAAACTAGAAAAAAACCTAGAGGATTCATGCTAGGTTTCACATATAGAAACTTCTCCCCTCAGATTATTGACTTGGGTAGAAACTTCAGGAAATTCCACATGCAAAGCCAGGCACAGTGATGCACAGTTAGTCCCAGTACTCAAAGAGGAAGAGGCAGGCAGGTATCTGACCTCAAGGCCAGCCTGGCCCTGTTCCAGGATAGCCAGGGATATGTGAAGAAACCCCATCTTCAATGCCCCGCCCCCAGCCACCACCCAGCACGTGCACCTGTGATTGGGACACAAGGAGGAGAAATGGCTGGGGCTCTGGAAACACATTTCTGTTACCCAGCTACAAATTCCAGGGCTCAGGGCTGCAGAGACTGGCCGCTCTTCCAGAGGTCCTGAGTTCAATTCCCAGCACCCACATGGTGGCTCACAACCATCTGTAATGGGATTTGATTCCCTCTTTTGGTGTGTGTAAAAACAGAGCATTCATATACATAAAATAAATAAATCTTTAAAAACAAGCAAGCAAAAGAGGGCTAGAGATACAGCTTACTGAGACCCTAAACTCTATTCCCAGCCCAAAAAGTAAAATCAAATACTGAGCGGTGTGCACACCCCTCTCACTGTAGACAAACACACAAGTGGAACTAGCTGCTTCTTTCCCACACCGTAACCTCATTTTCATTCTGGGCTAGGTCTCAGAGTCTTAGCGTCTGTTCTGACCACATGTATCTCAGAACACAGTATCTTCAGTTTAAAGTGAAGGCCTGGGAGAAACCTCATCAAGAGGGCTCAGCTGGTAAAAGTCTGTTCTGTCAAGCCGAAAGTTCTATTCCGAGGACCCAAACACAAAGAGGAAGGAGACCAGACTCTCGATCGCACGCACACACACCCACTCACCCCTCTACTGCCCAAATCTACAAGTACCACATGGCTTAGGTGAGCCTTACTGTCAGAGACTGTGAGAAATGGAACCGTCTCTCTACTCTGGAATCATTGGGTAACTTGAAAATGATCTTGACACTTTCGGGGTCGTCAGGCGAGGGCTCAGGAGGCAGGCATTCCAACTTCCTTTCCTTTTCCTCCTGCAAGTTCTAGAGAGACACAAAGCAAGGGTAAGGATATGGCTCCAACAGGAAAACAAGAAGCCTGGAATACAATGACTACGTAGGTTTACTGAAAACTCATGGACAATTATTGTAAGAAAATTCTCAGGGGGCCAGAGGATAGCTCTCGGCAGGTAATGGTGCTTGGGCCTATTGAGAAAGACTCGAGTTTCACCCCCAGAAACCACGCTAAGGGTAGACTCCCTAAAGTTGTCTTCTGACCTTCACAGAAGCATTGTGGCAGGTGTGTGTCAGCACTCACACATCACATAGACATATAATAGACAAAACCTCATTTATTGGTATTTGAGGCAAGGTCTCATTATGTGTACCCCTGGCTGATCTGAACTTGATATGTAGATCAGGCTAGCCTCAAACTGACAGAGATACACCTGTCTCTGCCTTCTGAGTGATGGGATTGAAGGTGTGCACCACTACACCTGAGGAAAAAATGTAAAAACAACTCCTTAAAACAAAACAAAACCCTCTTAGGACTGGGGACATGGCTCAGTGTTAAGAGCACTGGCTGCTCTTCCGGAGGACCCAAGTTCAATTCCCAGCACCTACATGGCAGCTCACAACTGTCTGTAACTCTAGTTCCAGGGGATCCGTCACCCTCACACATGAATGCAGGCAAAACACCAATGCATGTAAAATTTAAAAAAGCAAAAAACTCTCTTGGCAACCAGGTAAGGTGGTGAATCCCACGTGGGAGGCAGAGGCAGGTGGATCTCTGTGAGTTCGAGGACAGCCTGGTCTACAGAACGAGTTCCAGGACAGTCAAAGCCACACAGACAAGTCCTACCTCAAAAACCAAAACCAAACCAAAAAAACCCCAAGAAATAAAACAGAACCCTATCCTGGCAAGAAACAAGGAACAGCGTGCTACAGCACACGCACTGCTGACTGTGTGCAGGCACTGAGGATGGGGAAAGAGTGTATCCTGGCTGGAAGCAAGCAGCAAGGCACAGTAGAAATACACCATGAGCAAAAATGCCAGTTTGCTAACGCTGATACCAAGAAAAAATAAGTGGAGAATCAACTTAACCCACAATCCCAACAAAACTCTACCGTCATGTGCAAAGGCTTGGGTGACAAGCCCTGGTGTCCTCAGCATGCTGGGAACATGAGGGACAGAGGCCTGGCTCACCTGTCGCCTTCTTTCCTCTGCCAGCTTCTGCTGCTGCACCTCCTCCTCCTTTCGGCGTTTCCGCTCCCGTTCTTCCCTCTTTTTCCGTTCTTTCTCCTGGTCTGCCCTGAGAGAAGCCAGGTAGGCTTCATCCTGCTGTTGTCTCAGCACTTGGGTCTGGTTCCTTTCTTCCCTGTGGACAGACAGAGTACAAACCAAACCCTCATTTCACAAAGCTGTTTTCCTAGCCTGTCTTCCTCCTCCCTCCCTCTAACCTCTCTAGGGCTAGAACCCAGGACTGGGCTGGCTACATGCCAGGCAAGCACAGGTCTTGACTGTGTTTCTCCCAATCCCCTGGTCTTGAAGGCCAGCCCTTAGCACGAGTGCCTCACCTCTCAAGCACTGAGGTTAGAGATATGCCTATGATGCCCAGCTCCTGGCTTCTATCTGCTGTCAATTTGAAACACACGAGTTACTCCAAACACAACTGGAGAAGGCCTGGCCTAGCAAGGCTGCAGAGCATGCCGTTGTTAACAGTGGCTGACAAAAGATGATCCAGTCTACCGTGGGCAGCCCCACCCCCTAGGCAGGCACTCAGAGACGGTATCAAAAAGCAGGCTGAGCAAGGAATGAGGAGCAAGTCAGGTAGCAGCAATCCTCCATGGCTTCTGCTTCTTTTCCTTCGTGTCCTGACTTTTCTCAGCACAGTCCTGGCTAGTTCTGTGTCAACCTGCCACAAGGTAGAGTCTTAAGAGGAAGGACCCTCAGCTGAGAAAATGAAGGTCTCCATAAGATCAAACTGCTTAATTAGTGATTGATGTGGGAGGGCCTGGTCCACTGTGGATGGGGACACCTGGGCTGGTGGTCCTGGGTTCTGTCAGAAAGCAGTCTGAGCAAACAGATAGGCAGGACTCGATGGCCTCTACATCAGCTCCTGCCTCCAGGTTTCTGTCCTGTTTTGAGTTCCTACTCTGATTTCATGGTGTTTCATCAGAGCAAAAGAAACCCTGGCTAAGACACAAAGTCTTAACGTATTTCAGGGTGGTTTCAAAACTCATGATGTATTCCAAGGATGACCTTGTACTTTTGATCCCTTCTCAAGTGTTAGGAACTCAACTATATTCCCCGTCTGTTTTCTCTTGGGCTGAAGATTTGGGCACAGGGTGGAAACCCTGGTCTAGGAAGGCATTACAGGCAGGGTAGAGCAGACTGAGTGTACTGCTGCTTCCTCAGGAGTGAGCTTTATGTGGGACTCAGGGCCAAGATCTGGGTGTCCACTTTGTAGAGTGCCTTTAACAGAGCTCTTGTGGCTCTCCACTTACTGTGTGACAATTCCACGTATTTACACAAGGAACTCTAGTCATTTTCAACTCCCATTCCCCCATCCCTTCCCTTGGCTCTGAACACTTCTCAACAACTCCTCTGTCTCTCGTTATGTGGCCACTGAGTACAGTTTCTTGCCAGAGGGAAGCTGGGAGGCCACTTACAGAAGCATCGCAGCTGCTCTCCCAACAACCACTGGCTGCCAACAGGCCCCCCTGGGAAGGGGTGGACCTGTGAGGCCCCATCCATGGTGAAATGCTGATGAGCCCAGTCTTGGGCAGAGGACACAGCTGCAGTGAACTGAGGTGCAATGGCTGTGTTGTGTCCAGATGACATGTTTTTGTCGCACCTCTCCCCAACCTCTGGCTTTTATTCTTTCTGCTCCTACTTCCTTGACATTCCGAGTTGTGGAGGGAGTGACTATAGCTGTTCAACTTAGAGCCAAGCACTTCATCATCCTTTGTTCTCCACTGTAACCTTCTGCATGTCTGTATCTATTTATTTATTTGTATATGGTGCTGGGGAAGGAGAGAGCATGCTACAGCATAAATGTGGAGGTCAGAGGTCACCCTGTGGGAGTCAGGACTTTCCTTCCACCTCGTGGGTTCTGAGGATTCAGGCTTGAAAACAAATACAACCTTTCTGGCCCTCAATCTTTTCTTTTTCTATTTATGTATTTATTCTTATTTTATGTGCAAGGGTATTTTGCCTGCATGTATGTCTGTTACGTGTGAGGGTGTCAGATCTTGGAGTCACAGACAGTTGTGAGCTGCCGTGTGGCTGCTGGTATTGAACCTGAGTCCTCAGGAAGACCACTAGTGCTCTCAACTGCTGAGCAATCTCTCCAGCTCCCTCAATCTTTTAAAAAAGATTTATACTTATGTTTTGTTTTGGTTTTTTTTTTTTTGAGAGTCACCCTTTTTTTAAAGATTTTATTTATTTGTTTGTTTGTTTGTTTGTTTATTATGTATATACCAGATCTTATTATGCACCAGAACTCATTATAGATGGCTGTGAGCCACCATGTGGTTGCTGGGAATTGAACTCAGAACCTTCAGAAGAGCAGTCAGTGCTCTTAACCGCTGAGCCATCTCTCCAGCCCTATACTTACGTGTGTGTGTGTGTGTGTGTGTGTGTGTGTGTGTGTGTGTGTGTGTGTATGAATAGACAGGTGCCCATGAAGGATCTCCTACAGTTGGAGATATGAACCGCCCGTCTTTAGTGCTAGGAACTGAGCTGGGTTCTCTGTAAGGGAAGTGCATGGTCTTAACTGCTGTTGTCATCCTACATTATTATTAATTTTTGTTTGTTTTGTTTTCCTAGACAGGGTTTCTCTGTAGCTTTGGCTGTCCTTATTCTTTGTAGACCAGGTTGGCCTTAAACTCACAGAGATCCACCTGCCTTCGCTTTCCTGAGTGCTGGGATCACAAGCATGTGCTACCAACACCTGGCTCCACATTATTTTTTAAGACAGGGTTTCTCAATGAACCTGAAACTTCATTACTGGCTAGCCCAAATGACCTGCAAACCTCCTGTTTCCTCCCTGCTCAGAGTTAAGATCACAGCTGCATGCAGCTGTACCTGGCTTTTATGTGGGTGAGAAGATCTGAACTTAGGTCCTAGTGCATGCCAAGCACTTACTTTCTGGACAGTCATCTCCTCGGTACCTGTGATAGTTGCTCATGCGTTCATCATGCTCATGCAATGTAGTCTGCACTAGATTCTGGATGGACAGAATGTAAACAACTTCCTCAGAGTTGAAACAAGTGAATTTATGTGCACTCCTGAGTTTGCTAACTGCTTGAATAAATTAATCAAGGTACAAGTTGTGAGAGCCTTGTTTTATCCTTCTAAAAATGACATACAAAAAAAAAAACCCAGCAATGCAGGGGCTGCAACTAGCTAATGGGAAAAGGTGAAAGGCAACAGTTCTGGGACTTGAGTGGTCAACCTGTGGAGTTTAATGATACGTGCAGGCATAGAGGGTGGAAACTGATTAAGCAGAGACATAGCTGTTGTCCACTGCTGAACACCTAACTGCTTGCCTGGTGTGTGGAAAAAACCACCAACACATCTGGTGCTGAGTGACATGAGAATATGGCAAGAGAAATGGACCTCTCCTTTGTTTTCTATTATTTTCCTTTAAAGGTTATTTTTTTTAAATATATTTTTAAAATTACTTATTATGTATACAATGTTTTGTCTGCATGGATACCTGCATGCCAGAAGAGGGCACCAGATCTCATTATATTGGTTTTGAGCCACCATGTGGTTGCTTGGAATTGAACTCTGGACCTCTGGAAAAGGGTACTCTCAACCACTGAGCCACCTCTCCAGCCCCTTGTTTTCTACTATTGTCTTCAGACTAGTGCTACAGATGAAGTACCCTCCAACTGTAACCACTTTAACCTTCTTCTTCGACTTGTCCATTTCAAATATTCTGTAATTACTGTACGTAATTCATGTAAGGGGGAGTTATAACCAGTCCACCCTTTTCACATTAAGTTCTTTCTATGATGTTCAGCACTCTAAGCTAAATTTCAGCTTGAAGCAAAAGCTTTTAAGGTGGTTAAGACAAGGGAAAAAAGTCTGTGGAGCCCAGGTCAGTCCTCCGAGCACACCAATTGTCTCTTTTCAGAAAGAACTCGCTAGTACCTCTCTAGGCGTTCTGACACCAGGTAAGTCTGGTTTGCATCCATAATAAATGTCAGCTGGCTGATGAGGTCATCGGGCTGGATGAGGCCTTCCAGCCGTCCTACCACAGTCATGCGGCGATCCTTCAGCATGATCACAGCCAGAAATGGATAGGTGTTCTCTCGTAACGCCTGTGAGACTGACAGAGAGACCCAGGAGAGCACAGGTAAGACTTGGGGATAAAGCAAATCAACCCTCAGACTTTGCATAGACAGAATGCTTTAATCTTGGCTGGAATTAAAAAAGGAAGGTGTCATTTTTCTCTGTCTACCTTTTTTTTTCTACTGGTTTCTTTCCTTTTTTTTTAAATAAGTGCTAGAAGAGATTTTTGTTTTATGCATATCAATCTTTGGCACCATGTACATCTGGATCCCATGCACTCATGGTGCCTGTGAAGGCCGAAAGAGGGCATCAGATCCCCAGAACTGGAGTTACAGAGAGCTGTGGGCTGCCATGTGGGTGCTGGGAACTGACCATGGTCTTCTAGAGGAGGAGGCCATGCTCTAACTACTGAGCCATCTCTTCAGCCTCTCTTTTTTTTTCCTCTACAGCTGTATACAGAGATCAGAAGATGGCTTTCTGGGGCTGGTTCCCTCTCTCTACCACGTAGGATAATCAAACTCAGATTATCACATTTGGTGGCAAGTGCCTTTACCGATCTCATACCTCACTAGCCCCCACCTACTTTCTTCATTTTTTTTTTTTCTTTCTGTCACCTGTTTGTGTTTCTAAACTGAGGTGAGTCCTTAGAACAGGACAAGCCTCTTTGGTGAGTTGTTGTCACCATGCTGGGAAAGGCTGCAAGTTTCTAAAATAATTCTACTAAATGGAAGAAGGCTCTACCGAGAACCAGGTTAGGTTACTGCTTGGCTAACATTTCTTCAAAGTGTGAAGGTCACAAAAGGAGAGCAGGCTGCAGTTCACAGCTGCGCGCTGTTGGCCATCATCCCCACACACCACCTATGGCCCCATCTTTTCCTCCTCGTCTAACTCCCTCCTTAACTCACTCCTAAGCTTTTTTTCTCCCCATAACAAGGCTAGTTTTTCTGCTCTAAATGAAGTAAGATGGTTGGTCTGTAAATAACCAAAGTTTTATTATAATGCAATTGCATCTATGTTCTTACATTATGAAAGAAGAAATTTTATAATTTCCTACAAAAAAAATATCCTTTGTGCCATGTATTTGTAAGCCCCACAGAGCCGTATTAGAATGGCAAAATACAGGCTGCAGGAATATGCCAAGTGTCTACAAACCAATTAGGAGTAAAGATTTAGAACTAAGCTGCAGCCTGGCAATGGTGGCACACGCCTTCAATCCCAGCACTCAGGAGGCAGAGGCCGGCAGATTTCTGTAGGTTTGAGGCTAGCCTGGTCTACAGTGTGAGTTCCAGGAGAGCCAAGACTACACAGAACCCTGTCTTGAAACACATGCCCACCCCTAGTCCCTAAAAGAAAACTAAGATGCAGGAGAAGGAGCTGCAGCATATTTGATTCTGAACACCAGGTATGATGTGTTCACATATACAGAGGTTGCTGGACAAAAAGGCTACAAAATGATTGCATGTTCTTCACTGGGTATCTCTGTATCCTCTAATGGTTTCTAAAAACTACCTATCTCTAATTAAGAGTTACTGCCAGAAAGAGCGGAACTTCCTGCATCCACTGTCAGCACTCCAGTACTCCAACAATATACTCTACTCAAGAGCTCACTCTGTTTAAACTGGACAGGGAAGATGAATGTAAATAGCCTGTAGAGATTAGTGGTGAGCTGCTGGGCAGGTTGATTTAAAATGAAAGTCTCTGGTGATGGCATGGCTAAATGTAAGGAATGGGCCTTAAAGTCTGCCAGTTCCAATCACATTGCAACTCTAAGCTAACTGTATGTTCTTGGATCTGTCCTAACATCTCTAAGATTGTTTCACAAATCTCAAAGTAGGCACAATACAGCCCTCATCTCTCAGGACTGCTCACAAAATTAAATGATATAAATCAAAACTGCAACTAGCATTATGTCTACCACCGAACAACCACCCAAGAAATGGCATGGCATTTTCCCACACTTCCCCAAGGATGTTCTGACATTCTCAACAAGGCAAAAGAAACACAACTTACCCCTGTACCCCTCAGGTTTGTTGGTAGAACAAGCCCAAAAAAGCATCCTGCTGTTTATTAGTGAGATAACTTCAGGTGCACAGAGAGTATTGCTAAGGAATAGGATAAAAACAATGTAAGAACAATTTGCTAACTCAAAACTGTCAGGAAAAAAAAAAGTCAGCAAAGAATAAAGACTCATGTACTCACCGACAGAACTCATCCGAGTCCTGGTGGTCATCTCCATGAAGATAGACCAAAAGAAATCGAAGTTCCCGCTTGGCATCGTTAAGTGCCTGTGAGAGACAGAAGATCACTGCTCACTCTAAGACCCTGAACTACGATTTCAGCTCAGGGTCCAGGTGGTTTTAACTATATACTAATCAACATGAGCAACCAGAAAGTGGGGAGGGAAATAGGAGGGAAAAGGAAAGCAAGAAACTAAGTATTTCCCAGGCTTCTACCTATACACCCACCCTTGGCATCTTTCTCCCCATAAAGTCCAAGCCAAGAAGCTTTAATGAAAAGGGTTGAGTGTTGTTAGGATTTATGCTGCATCAGGCAATGAGGATAACCAAGGGGACACAAAGGAGTCCTAACAAGTCAGAGAAAGCTGCGTTCATGGCTTAAAGGTTAAAAACAGGAGACTGTGACCATATAAAAGCTACTTTGCAGCTACAAAATTCTTGCCAATAAAAAGACAGCTGCAAAGATGAGTTGGATGCAGCAGGACACAAGCAAGCACAAAGGACCAGGGCACCAAAGGCATTCTAAAGAGCGTGGTGTTCAGAAGATCTTCTGAGACAAAGCAGGTGTCCACAGGTCTTGTGTCACTTACATGGTACACTCCCAGTAACTGCCTGTAATTTCTGCATGGCTAATGGTAGTCTACCCTCAAGATCATGCCAAGAAGTGCTTGGCTTCCTTATCCCTGTTATCTGCAGCCCTGAGCAAGGTGCCTAAATTCTGTACAGATAGATAATACGTGTGGAGTGGGGTAGCAGCAGCCAGCAAGAAGACCAACTGTGAGAAAAAGCAGATGTGGAGGAAAAAAGTGGAAGCAAGGGTGAACCGACCCTTCTCCAGAGAAGAATCAGGAGTCCTGGACACTCCAGAACAGAGCCACTCTTTAACCTATGCCCACAGTGTTCCTTCCTTTCTCTGGCAAATTATCTATGCCTAACACCCAGTTTTCCTCCCTGAAAGGAGACAGTGGAAGGTCTTTGTGGCTTAGCTTGAATGAAGCGAGCCACCTTGAGCCTACGGTCTAAATCCTATTCAGTTCTGTAAAGGATCAAAACAAATTCAGACTTTACCTTTAAGGTGTGTACAGTTTGGTGACAGAGCAAGACATGAACACAAATCAATTATAAGTAGGAATGTGAAATTGTTATCAATTTAAAAACAGAGGGATAGAAAACAAAAGGGAAGGTCAGTACTTTAGAAAGGAAGGTAGGGCAAGATAGGGAACAAATGGAATGGTTAGGAGAGGACAACATTTCCAAAATGTTAGAAAGACATTCCAGGTAGAAGGAACAGCAGTAGCAAGGCACCGAGGTATGGAAGTGTTCAAGGAAGGGTGTAGCTGGACCCTGGGGAATGAGGAAACAGTTATGCAGAAAAGACATCAAAAGAAGATTGGTATTAGATCAAGGAGGCCTAGATAAAAGGTTTGGGCCTGTCTTTTTTTTTTCCTTTAAATTTCTCCTATAACCAATGAAGAGCTGTTTAAGTCTTTTGAGTATAAGAGCCGTATGATCAGAGCTAAGCTACACTTTCCTTTGAGGACAGAATCATATTGGTAAGTTGGCATCTATTTGGTTTGTGGCACTGACCTGGCTGTACGTTCCCTGGTAGAAGACAGGGTGTGCCCTCCCATATTTCTCTTCAAAAGAGTGCATAAATGAAACAATGTCCCCAACAGGGTCAGTGACCCGGCTGCGAGGGTCAGGCCGTATAAAACGAAGAGCAAACCTGAGGAGGAAGGAATAAATATCACATGAATTGGCTTACTTAGTGCATATGGAGTGGGCCAGTTTGTACAGACTTTTCTAACAGAGCCAGCGTCATGGCAGCAAAGGGAGGTGAATGATCAGCGAGTGGGCACTAACCCTCAAGGTAGCGCCTGACTCAAAAGCCACAGACTGCTGAGTGTTCCACTCTCTGCTCAAGAAGAGTACAGACCACCAGGACCACAACCTTCCAATCTGGCCTAACCCATGCAGAGTGCTTTCTGTAGAAAAGCAGGACTAGAAGGGTCGGGTAAGGAAGACCAAAATCCTAGACACTGTCTAACATGGCAGCCACTTACTTCAGCTGTCTTAAATACACTAAATTAAATGCTATTAAAATTCAGTGCCTCAGTCACACCTACTGTGTTTCAAGTGCTCAACAGACAAATGTTGGTCAGGGACTTGCATACTAAATACTACAAAGAATGTGTCTAAATCAAAAACTAAACGTGCACTGGGCATTGCAGCCTCCTCTCCTTTTTCTTCTGGGGTTCTGAGGTTTTTACCTCATCCTCTCAAGTTATCAGCAGGGGCTTCAAACCTCAACTTAGTCACAATGTACTTGTTGGTCAATAAACTTGCTTGATGTGTTCACACTGATGGCACCCACGGAAGGAGTCATAAAACTGACCTCGTGTGGAGTACTGGTGGCTACTTTAGATGTAGAATGCAGTGTCAATGGGTCCACACATCTATTCCTAAAGACCCACCCTCTCATACTGAAGCACACCCTTTTTCACACTCTGGGTTTCCACATAAGGTGTGGGGTGGAGGAGACTGGAATATTTCACATTCAGCTGCCTGGGTGACACCACTGCATTAAAATTAGTAAGACATGCCATGCATATTTTCCCAAGGAAAGCAAACAATATTTATTTTTTTAATTTTTAGCACAGAAAAAGCTTTATCAATTCCTAAGCCTATCCTTTTCTTTTGAGGGGGAAAGGGGCTGAGACAGGGTTTCTCTGTGTAGCCCTCTGGCTATCCTAGAATTCACTTTGTAGACTAGGCTGGCCTCAACATCCGCCTGCCTCTGCCTCCCCAATGCTGGGATTAAAGTTGTGTGCCTTGATGCCCAGCTGAGGCCATTCTTTTTGTTGTTGTTGTTGGTTTTTTGGAGATAGGGCTGTGTAGCTTGGACTCAGGAATCCCAGCACTTGTGAAGCAGAGGCAGGCGGATCTCTGAGTTCAAGGCCAGACTGGTTTACAGATCGAGTTCCAGGACAGCCAGGGCTACAAGGAGAAACCCTGTCCTGAAACAAAGAAAGAAACAAACAAAAAACCCAACTAAATACACAATCAAAATAAAACAAAACAACGTCACACTTTGCTACTGAGCAAGAGACCAATGGAAAACCATCATCCAGTCTCTGACCTTTGGTGGCTGGGTCCTTACTTCCAGCCTCTGCTGCTGAGAGCGAACACAAGTTAACCTGAACAGGGATGGGGGCTCGAAGTACACATTCTATTTCTACCTCCATCTGCTGGCCTGGACGTGATGCTCTCTCATTCACACTCCTTACTCCTTTCCAAGCCCACATCCTCTTGCTTCATTCTCAATTGGATTATAGATTTATGCTATCACTCCCAGGCTCCAATAAACAGTTCAGTATTTCAGAAAGCCTGGGCATAGCTCCAGATTACATTCTATGCTAAGCCTCATCTGCCAGGAAATCAGGTTACACTCAACATTTCCTAGCTCTGGACACCAGCTTCCAAAGGTAAATTCTTTGAATGGACACAAAGAAAGCTAGATGGTAAAGGTGTAAAACAAGTGGGTACATACTAAAGGGTTCCAGTGTCAGCAACCTAAGCACTGCCTGGGCAGAGGGAAATGTACAAAATACCGCCTAGAAAGATGCCAACAATCTATGGCAAAACGGGTAGTCTCCAAGCAAGAAAATCTAGTGGGATTGTGAATAATCAGATAGAGAAGTGGTTTAGGGCAAAAGTTCCTGGAGTATGAAGTTAGGAGATAGATAATGGTAGTTAGAAAGGAAAGGGCGTGGTGATTGACTCGGAATGTAGCGGTGACAAACATGGTGTGGGAGGGGAAAGACCAATAAACATAGGCAGACTGATCTGATTCAACAGATTGTTGCCAGGACTAATTTAAAGCCATTTATCACACTTTCCACTATGCAACAATTTAAACATTTTTTTTTTTTTTTTACTATAGTTAAGAGTGCAGGAAGAATAATCTGCCAATAAATTGGCTAGTCATAAATGATTGAGCATCAAGCTTACTCTAGTCTAAGTTTCAGCTTCAAAGCCTACCCAGTTGCTAGTAGTGTATAAACACAGAGGTACGTACCTAAATATATCAAGTATTGTGTAATAGGTAAACCGGAATGGAAGCATTATCAAGTAGTAACCCCATCCAAGCAGGCCCTGGAATTCCAAAAACAAAGTTAGAGCCCCATTCTCTTAATGTCCAATATTTCAGAAAACAGCTAGTTCGTACTTCACCCCTACCCAGTATGCTGAACCCCTCTGACAAAGCGCCCTCTTTCTAGCAGTTTCATCCTTCAATACTACTGCTTTTAGTATCACTTCATCTAAGACTTTTTTTTCCCACAAAATTTTTATCTTAAGTCTTCATAACATTCTCCAGCAACTCCTTATATTCACTGTTAACTTCAAGCTTCTCCCCACATAATAAATTCTCAATTTTTCCACCTTATATTTAAACATCAATATATGGCACACAGAAATAACAAGAGAGATAATTTTTATTGTATACAACAGTAAGACTACTACCTGAGGACAAATCCTCATGTAGGTACTAATCTTAGTGAGAGCACTCTCTTATTCCTGTTATCTTCACAGGCTTAATGCCAGCATGTCCAGTGTGATCCTCAGTGGACTCTAAAGCTAAATGGAGTCAGGGTCTCAAGCACAAAGTGAGGCCCAGTTCAGGCTAAGGAAACATGGGCAGACAGAGAACTACTCCTTGAGTTATGTATCTAGGAATCTGTTTTTGTTTGTTTGTTTAAGATAGGGTCTCTCTTTGTAGCTCTGGCTGTCCTGGAACTATGTAGCCCAGGCTAGCCTGCCTCGGGCAACTGAATGCTGGAATTTCAGGCAGGTACCCTTACTCATCTACTTTAAATTTTCTTCCCTTTATGGCTTTGTTTTCTGATGTTTCAGTTACCCTCAGTCAATTGGGGTCTGAAAATATTAAGTGGAAAATTTAAAAACCAAACAACTGATAAGTTTTAAAGTGCAACCGGAGTAGTATTTTAGAATAGTGTGCCATGCAATTCAGTCCCACTCAGTGACATTCTTTGTTCAGCCATCTACACATGACATCTGCCTTCTAGTCTCTTAGCAGCCATCCTGGTTAGGATATGGCTCTGAGTATTGCTTGTGTTCAAGTCATCCTTGTTTTACTTAACAATAGCCACTGCTAGGCATGGTGGTGTATATTTTAAATGCCTGCACTGGGGAGGCAGAGGCAAGTGGGTCTCTGAGTTTGAGGCAGCCCGGTCTACAGAACGAGTTGAAGGGTAGGTAGGGCCACATGGTGGGATCCCACTGCGAAACAACAACAAAGTGGCCCCAAAGTGGTGGTCCTGGAACTGCTGTGACAAAGGGAAATGATGAAGTGGTCCCTTTAAGAGAAAAGGCAGGAGCTGGGACTCATGCGGGAGGCTGTGAAGGAAGCACAATCAGGGCTAGCTTTGCTGCCTCACTGTGAACAACAAAAGCTGACAGCAGCAGCTTGCTGAAGATGGAAAGGCACTAAGTAAGGCTTAGCAGTGCTAGGAGTGTAAGGCATCTTCTCAGAGACCGTACAAGTGTCTCCTCCACAGAGAAGGCTGTAAGCAAGCACCACAATGATCCAGGGAAACAGCTGTACTATGTTGCCCAGTCTGGCCTCAAAACTTGTGATCCTCCTGCCTCAGCACTTTGTTTTTGCTTGTCTGCTTTTCATTTAATTTTTATTTTGTATGTGCAGACGTGTTTTGGGAGCCTGATGTCTATGTACTATATGTGTGCCTAGTGCTTGTAAAGGCTGGAAGAGGGCACTGGATCCCTGGGACCAGAGCTACAGACAGTTATGAGCTGTCATGGGGGTGCTGGGAATCCAACCCAGGTCCTCTGCAAGAGCACCCCTGATTGCTGTGCCATCTCTGCAACCCAGCCTTTTTTCTCTCCGAGTCAGTACCTCAGGATAGAGCCTGGGCAGTCCTTGAACTAGAGGTCCTCCCATCTCAGCTTCCCAAGGGCTTCCCAAGGATTATAGGCATGTACCACCATGTCTAATCTAAAGTCATTTCTGAAACATTAAGTACTCCAAACACACATATGAAAAAGTATGATAATGTGCTAATTTTAAATGCTCTAGGATTGAATGAAGTGCTTAAATTTTTTTTTTTTTTTTAATTCTAAATGCATGTGTAAGAGGTGAGTGTCATCACTCATAGATAAAAGAGAGAAAATCTCCAGAAAGTTCTTTGGAGTTCATGATCAGTTATATATCTAATTTCCTTAATTAGACTGTGAGAAGTCAAATTGTAAACAGGGAAGCTAAGACAGAAAGATCTAGAGTTTGATGATAGCCTGGACTTCGTAGTAAGATCCTCCTTAAAAAGAAAGGCAGTGGGGCTGGCAAAGTGGGTCACCAGATAGAGGGCCCTGCTGCAAGACTGATGGCCAGACTTTGATCCCTGTGACCCACATGGCAGAAGGAGAGAGCTGCCTCTACAAGCTGTCCTGACCTACACACACACACACATACACAATGTAATAAGACAATGTCTACAAAAGAAAGGAAAAGAGGGGAGGAAGTCAGTGAGAGAGAGGAAACAAGGGAAAGAAGAGGGAGAAAAGGAAGGGAACGGGAAAGGATGATTGGAAAGGGTAAGAGAAGGAGGACATGAGAGTAAAGAGCTCTTTCTTAACGTCTACACACATCCAAGCGACAGTACCTGGTACACTCTAAAATGCCCTATAAATCTAAGTGACCTGCCTCTTTATTACCAACCCATCAGGACCAATTTCAAAAGACTCCCACAGATTCTAAGTACTTCCTTAGGTACTATGTCGCCCTAGCTGTCCTGGATTCACTCTGCAGATCAAACTGGTTTCAAACTCGCAGAGATCCACCTGCCTCTGCCTCTTGAGTACTGGAAAATTAAAGGCACGCGCCACCATGCCTGACTTTTGCCCTTCCTTAGAAGTAGCTAAAGTCAAGTAAACTTATGTTACTTATCAGATTTTAATTTAATGGTGGGAGGCTGCCAGCTGCTGCAGGTAGTAGCTCATACAGCAATCTGCCAAGGTGGAGGTAAGAGGAATGTGTAAGGTCTGAGGCAGCCTGTTCTACAGTGAGCTCCAGCCTGGGCCAGTCGGCCAGTCTGGGATACCAGTGAGACCATGTCTCCAAACAAAACAAAACAAAACAAAAACACAAAAAGGGGAGTGGCCTGGAAGCTGGCTCAGAGTCAAGAGTGCTTACTGCTCTTACAAAGGACCAGCTTTGGTTCCCAGCACCCTGTGTGGCTCACAAGAGCCTGCCTCCAGTTTCCAGGAGCACAGTGTTCTCCTCAGGCTGCCACGGGCTCAAGTAGAACACAGACATATGCCCAGAAGAAGCTCTAATGGCCTGCAGACATCTCAAAAATAAGCTGCTCAAAGCGAGGTACAGAAAACACTCCCTCAGTAAAGAGCAGAAAAACAGTTCTACAGCAATTCATTAAAAAAAAAAAAAAAATCAAGGGAAACGAATGAACCCACTAAGTCTTCCATGGGCCCGCAGCTAACAATTTAATACTGTGAACATTTCTTTTGCTCTACCATACAGAGATAACAAAACCAAATGGGTGAAATCACTAACAGGGGGATATTCTATCTACAAAACTTGCCCTTGGTTGCGGTCTTGAGACAACATAGCTGTAGATCCTGTGATCGGCTGTATTAACCTGTAGGGGTCTGGATGGAGGTGGATTGAAAACACTCGGTACACCTTCTTGCTCATTCAGTCTGTCCTGCACTGCAGCCTGAGAAGGAAAACAGAATGGCAGAACTTCAGTGATGCTCAAACACTGAGAGGAAGCTACTACCTGGTATCTCCAAACAAGGTGAGAACGACGTGGCAGTCACTTGGTGAGTACCTAAGGGATTTGCCCTGCTCTACTACAGGGCAATGACAATTCTCACATGGCATAAAAGACCAGGCAACTTGTCTTGAAGCCACATCACATAGCGGCACATTACTAATATCAGTACATGTTATTCAGAATGGCTAAAATATAATGTGCTTCACCATACAATCCCAGGAAAAGCACGGACATGTGGACATACCCACGGGGCTGTGCCACAGGCAGCGCTGCTTGTCAGAGCAGACAGTTCTGGCAAAGAGGATGTAGTCTGAATACAGCTCCACAGGCCAGAAAGAGACTAACACACAAGCCTTAGACTCCTTATGTGCTAAAATAAAGGAAACTTAGTGCTTACAACTAATCTGAAAAAACCTTTTTTTTTTTTTTTTTTTAAAGTAAAGACACAGATTTGTTAAGAAAAAGAAGTGAGAAAGAGCTCTTCGAAGTGGAGGCATCTGAAGGGAAGATCAGCATAATCTGAGAATCTGAACATTCAGTGCTGAGCGGGAGCTCGGCTGCGTGCTTGCTTGCATGTATGAGACAGAAACCACTGCTTTAATCCCAGAACTCAGGAGGTACAGGCAGGAGGATCAGAGTTTGAAGTCATCTTGGGCCATCGCAGGGAGTCCAAGTCTAGCCGTGGCTAAAGACTATCTCAAAAACAGAATGAAACAAAACAAAATCATCAAGGAAAAAACCTGAATATTCATGTTAAAAACAAAACAAAACAAAACAACCTTCATTCTCTCTCTAAATGCTAAAATTTAATTCTGTCTCTGAAAATAGTTTTCTGTCCCAGTTTTGTGACAGGAATTAGACATACTCAAGAGATGCCTGGCTCCTCTTCTTCCACAATCTACTCAGACCTGATGAAGTGCCTCTTTTGTCACTATTAAAGGGACTGCTGGGCTGAATAGAGGTCTCAGAGGTTAAGAGCACTGTCTGCTCTTCCAAAGGTCCTGAGTTCAATTCCCAGCAACCACCTGGTGGCTCATAACCATCTATAGTGAGATCTGTTGCCCTCTTCTGCCCTGAGGCACATGCAGGCAGAATACTGTATAAATAATAAATAAATCTTAAAAAAAAAAAAAAAAAAAAAAAAGGGATTGCTCCATCTAACAGTGTTAGGGAAAAATGTAACAATGCCAAGAAGACCAGTAATGTAGTTTAGGGGTAATTGGTTATCTGTCAACTTGGAGACCACGTTCAACCATATGGGCAGCCAATCAAATCAAACTATGATAATGACGACCAACAAACAAACAAACATCCAAACAACAAAACAAAACAAAAAATAAAAAACTCAAAGCCACTCTGGACACTTCAGCTCTGCTGTCACAGTAGGTTGTGTATACTGTCACCACCTGTACAAGGAAGACAATGCATCCTGACTCAGCAGAGAACCTGCTCTACGAGAACAGATATACAAATTTGCTACTTGAGAAAGAAGCCTTTGAAATCCTGTTCCAAGTCTCTCAGCTTTTAACCTGCATCAGTATCCTATCAAAACCTACCAACAGGATCACAGAACTGTTTCAGCGTGTTTCTAGGAACTAAAGCCTGCAGGTCATTTTGTCATTCCTTTGACCTTGCAGTTGGTAACAGAAGGGTCCTTGGGAGGGCTGTGTGTCTTCTAGACTTAAGAACTAGATTTAATCTTATGGTTTGACTAATTCCAGGTAGTCAATCATACTCAGTGGAGACAGAATAACATTTCAGGGCTGGCACACTGGCTCAGAGGGTGGCCTAAGCAGAATTTGGTTCAAACTAGCATCATCTGGGAAGAGGGAACCTCGACTGAGAAATGCCTCTGCAGATTTGCTTGAAAGGCTGGGTAGTGGTCATGCCTGCCTCTAATCCCAGCACTCGGAAGGCAGAGGCAGGCGGATCTCTGCGTTTGAGACCAACCTGATCTACAGCCAAGGCCACTCAGGAAACCCTGTCTCGAAAAACAATAAAAAAAAAAAAAAAAAAAAGGGGGGGTGCTGCTGGAGAGATGGCTCAGTGGTTAAGAGTGCTGTGTACTCTTCCAAAGGACCTGGGTAAAATTCCCAGCACTCACGTGGCAGCTCACAACTGTCTGTAATGCCAATTCCAAGGGATCTGACACCTTCAGACTAATGCACATAAAATAAAATAAAAAAAAAAAAAAGACTGGCCCAGCAAGTCTGAAGGCAACTCTGTGGTGCTATGAGGGACCAGCTCATTGTGGGTGATGGCATCCCGGGGCAGGTGGTCCTGGATGGCACAGGAAAGCAGGCTGAGCAAGCCATGAGGAACAAGCCAGTAAGCAGCAATCTCCACAGCCTCTGCTTCAGCTCCTGCCTTGAGTTCTTGGTCTGACTTCCCTCAGTGATGGTCTGTGATGTGGCAGTGTACGCTGAAATAAACTTTCTTCCAAGTTGCTTTGGTCATGGTATTTTATCACAACAGAAACTCTAAGACAGCAGTTAAAAGAGCCTGCTGCCAAGCCTGCCACCCTCCAAGCTTGCTCCCCAGGACCCACATGGTAGAAAGTGAAACAATTACATACAGAAGAAAGCCTGCAAGGACACATACTAACACAACTGTGCTTATCTTCCAAAGTGTAAGAATTTTCTTTTTTTTTTAGACAGGATTTGTCTAATAGCCCTGACTGTCCTTGAACTCACAGAGAGCCACCTGCCTGTGCTGGGAATAAAGGCATGCAGCACCACAGCCAGCCCATGTTTAAACTTTTTTATAGAAATATTTTGTTTCTGTAATTGTAAAAACACAAAACATTACCATTGGAAATAAATCTTTTTTAAATTTATTTAATTTCGTTTTATGTGCATCAATGTGAAGGTGTCAGATCCCTTGGAACTGGAGTTACAGACAGTTGTGAGCTGCCATGTGGGTGCTGGGAATTGAACCCAGGTCCTTTGGAAGCAGACTGTGTTCTTAACCACTGAGCCATCTCTCCAGCCTTGGGAATAAATCTTTCCATCCACACTTAAGTTATGCAAAGTAATCTCACCAAGTAAGCAGAAATTTTAAAAAATGGACACAAATTTCTTTTTTTTTTTTTTTTTTAAGATTTATTTATTTTGTATATAGTGTTCTGTCTGCATGTATGGGCAGAAGAGGACACCAGATCTCATTGTAGATGGTTTGGAGCCACCATGTGGTTGCTGGGAATTGAACTCAGGACCTCTGGAAGAGCAACCAGTGCTCTTAACCTCTGAGCTATCTCTCCAGCCTGGATATAAATCTTTAGCTCATAAAATACTCAATCTTTGGTAAACGCCTAGCTATCAACAGTGGTTACCCCTAGGAAAGAGGAAAAAGAGGAACAAGAGAGGAACTGCAAACAACCCACAAACTACTCCCATGTTCTATCATATCTGATGAGCAGAAAGCTGAAACTATATTGCAGACCACTGGAGGGTTAGGAGCTGAAAGGAAGGCTCATGCCTATTCTGCTCGTGTTCCCCCACTCTTTCTCTGAGACAGGGTTCTGCTATGTAGTTTGAGCTGCGTTTGAACTCCTAATCTTCCACCCTGGTCTCCCAAGTGCTGAGATTACAGGCAGGTGTCACCATGCCTAGTTTATACCTCTCCCAAGCATACCTTTTTCCTATCTGAAACATTTTATTTATAGATTTATGATGTCAACAGAAAATTATTAGAGACCAAAACAAATGCCTAAATGAAGTAAAATGAAAAGGGTAACTGAATTATTATGCCAAAGGGAAAAATAAAACTTTTAAGTTTGTGTGGGTATGCGCCTAATGTACAGAGGTAGTTCTAGAACAGCCACGACTTTGCAAAACAAAACAAAACAAAACACCAAAAATCTGTCTCGAAAAGCCAAAAGAAAAAAAATCTAAATATACGAGTTTTATGGTGGGAGCAATTAACAAAGCTAAAATGAATCCCTGTGTTCAGCAGGCCTCCGTTCTAATTACACTCTAGCAGCAACAGCTCAGAGCGACTGCCAGGGCAGGTGGGAGGCAGCGGAAGCGTGGAGGAGAGCTCCTGATGCTAGGAAGACACGGCAGAGCCACTACACTAGTGTAACTCTGCTTTCACGTTCCGTACTCCCACACGTGTGTCTGAGACCCAAAGAAGCGCAGCCCTGAAATGAAAACGCTCAGAAGCAGCTCCTCAGAGGGCTGCCGCAGCAGGGCTCTGCTGAGTGGGGGGTGGGTGCCCGTACCTCCATGTTCCAGTCATGCTGCTCCAAGGCAAGGCGACACTGCTCCATGGACTCTATGCCCGTCAGATCCTGGAAAGAAGGTGAGGCACAGGTTACTGTGGAGCTGGGCTGGGCCCGGCTGCGAGAGGGCTTGTCTACTCGCTCGTGCACAAAGCCCTGGGTTCCCCCTCCCACAGCACACAGAGCAGGTAGGCAGCACATGCACGGATTAGCAACTGGGAGGTGCAGAGGAAGAGCCACTGCTGGCAGCAGGAAGGCTGGTGAGGTAGCTCTTTAGTACGGTGCTTGCCTTGCACAAACAAGGCCTGAGGCTGCCCCAGACCTACCCACACAACACCAGGAACCGGCTCTCTACAGAGAGCACGACTGGCCTTCCAGGTTCCTTTCTCACTAGCTCCCTTCAGGCATGCACTACCCAGCAACCCTACACTTCATATGTACATCACATGCCTAAAGATTCCACAGTGCTAGGCCCTTCCACACAGCACAAAAGCACAGCCTTCCCGCTGCTCCTGGACCTTTCATTCCACAAACGCTTCCTTCTAACGTGTTATACGGAGATGAGGTGAGGTGGGGTCAAGTCTCCCTGGCAAACCGCAGGGACATAGTGATTTAGCTCAGCCAGACTGATAAGACAGAGTTTCTTGCCTTGATTCTGTGCTCCGTATCCAAGGACAAGATGTTTAGTTCTGGAATTTAGTTCCCTTTATGTACAACATTTAATCTGGATTTAATCTGGACTAGATATCCTTTCCAAACTTTTCTGTAGCAATTATTTTGTTGTGTGTGTATATATGCACAAAATTCAGGGACAACACTCATATATATGTGCAGTCCAAATGCAACTATGCCCTAGGAGGCCAGAAGACGGTGTTGGATACCCTAGAGCTGGAGGCATCATGTGGTTGCTGAGAATATAACTTGGGTCCTCTGGGAGAACAGACATTTTTGTTTTGGTTTGGTTTTTCGTGACAGGGTTTCTCTGTATAGCCCTGGCTGTCCTTAACTCACTTGGTAGACCAGGCTGGCCTGGAACTCATAGATCCACCTGCCTCTCCCTCCGGAGTGTTGGGATTAAGGGTGCATAGCACCACTACCTGGCGAAGCAGGCAGTTCTTCTAACCTCAGAGCCACCTCTCCAGTCCCCTTTCTAAATGTAACAAACAAAACCAGAAAACTTGGTTTCATCCCTTTCTGCCTTTGTGATCTATTTTTAGTTGTTTCGAGACAGGGTTTCTCTATGTAGCCTTGGCTGTCCTGGAACTCCCTCTGTAGACCAGGCTAGCTTCAAACTAAGAGATCCACCTACCTCTGCTGGGACTCAAGGCGTGTGACACCAACAAATAAGTGCTGTTGATTGATCATTCCTTCCTTCCTTGAGACAGGTTGTCACTGTGCAGCCCTGGCTGTCCTGGAACTTGATATGTAGACCAGGCTATCCTTAACTCCCAGTGACCCAGCAGCCTCTGCCTCCCTAGTGCTGGGATTAAAGGTGTGCACTACTTGTATTTTTTGAGACAAGTCTCAATGAACCTGAAGCTCAAACACTGTGCTAGGCTCCACTAGAGCTGCAGTTACAGGTGCCATCACCCTCCAGCTTTGAATACAGACTTTGGGGCTGCGAACTCAGATTCTCATGCTTGTGCCAGAGGCGCTTTAACCAGCTGCGTCAGTTCCTTATCACTATGGAAAAAAGATAGCATCTTCAACAAATGGTGCTGGTCCAACTGGATGTCTACATGTAGAAAAATGAAAATAGATCCATACTTATCACCCTGCACAAAACTGAAGTCCAAGTGGATCAAAGACCTCAACATAAAACCAGACACATTAAATCGGCTAGAAAAAAAAATTGGGGAATACCCTAGAACTCATTGGTACAGGAGAAAACTTCCTGAACAGAACACCAACAGCACAGGCTCTAAGAGCAACAATCAATAAATGGGACCTCATGAAATTGAAAAGCTTCTGTAAAGCAAAGGACACCGTCATCAAAACAAAGCGACTGCCTACAGATTGGGAAAGAATCATCACCAACCCTTTATCTGACAGAGGACTCATATCCAATATATATAAAGAACTAAACAAGCTGAAAAGCAACAAACCAAGTAATCCACTTAAAAAATGGGGAACAGAGCTAAAGAGAGAATTCTCTGTAGAGGAATATTGAATGGCAGAGAAGCACTTAAAGAATGCTCAACCTCATTAGCCATTAGGGAAATGCAAATCAAAACAACCCTGAGATTTCACCTTACACCCATCAGAATGGCCAAGATGAAAAACTCAAAGGACAACACATGCTGGAGAGGTTGTGGAGAAAGGGGAACCCTTCTCCACTGCTGGTGGGAATGTAAACTGGTACAAACACTCTGGAAATCAATCTGGCGCTTTCTCAGACAACTAGGAATAGCGCTTCCTCAAGATCCAGCCATACTACTCCTAGGCATATACCCAAAAGAGGCGTTAAGTACACAAAAAGGACATTTGCTCAACCATGTTTGTAGCAGCTTTATTTGTAATAGCCATAAGCTGGAAACAGCCCAGATGCCCCTCAACTGAAGAATGGATGCAGAAACTGTGGTACATCTATACAATGGAGTATTACTCAGCAATGAAAAATAAGGAAATCATGAAATTTGCAGGTAAATGGTGGGACCTGGAAAGGATCATCCTGAGTGAGTTGTCCCAGAAGCAAAAAGACACGCATGGTATATACTCACTCATATAAACATACAATATAGAATAAACCCACTAAAATCTGTACATCTAAACAAACTAAGCAAAAGAGAGGACCCTAACTAAAATGTTCAATCCCCATCCTGAAAGGCAAAGAGGATGGACATCAGAAGAAAAAGAAAATAGGAAACAACCTCGGAACCTGCTACAGAGGGCCTCTGAAAGCCAGAAGAAAACAGGAAACAACCTTGAAACCTGCCACAGAGGGCCTCTGAAAGCTTCTGCAGTATAAACTGTCAAAGCAGATGCTGAGCCTGATGGCCAACTGATGGGCAGAGTGAATGGAATTTTATGTAAGAAGTGGGAAATAGTAAGAGCTGGAGGGGATGGGAACTCCACAAGGAGAGCAACAGAACAAGATAATTTGAACACAGGGAACTTCCCAGAAAATCATACTCCAACCAAGGACTATTCGTGGAGATGACCTGGAACCCCTGCACAGGTGTAGCCCATGGCAGTTCAGTGTCCAAGTGGTTTACATAGTAATGGGAAGAGGGACTGCCTCTGACATAATCTGATTGGCCTGCTCGTTGATCACTTCCCCCTGAGGGGGGAGCAGCCTTACCAGGCCACAGAAGAGGACAATGCAGCCACTTTTGATGAGAACTGATAGACTAAGATCAGAAAGAAGAGGAGAACCTCCCCTATCAGTGGACTTGGGGAGTGGCATGCATGCAGAAAGGGGAGGGAGGGTGGGATCGGCAGGGGAGGAGGGAGGGGCTTATGGGGGGATACAAAATGAATAAAGTGTAATTAATAAAAAATTAAAAAAATATATAAAATCTAAAAATAAATAGATAGATAGATAGATAGATAGATAGATAGATAGATAGATAGATAGATAGAATGTATATATGAAATACTAAAAAACAAATTCACTAGCCTGGGAGGTTACACCTGTCATCCCTTGACAGAGAAAATTTCAAGTCTGAGAATAGTCTGAGCTATATGAGAGCCTGTTACACACACACACACACACACACACACACACACACACACACACACACA